TTTCAAAGCTTCCCTTTTTCTGCAAGATTTTGAAAAGCACAAAAACTAATTATAAGCTAATCTGAAACCTTTTTGGAAGAAAGTTTTCAGATTTGTCTCATACAGTGGACCAAAACATTATGATTTCCCACTTACAGCATTGTACAGGCATCTGGGTTATAGCACAAGAGTGATTTAGGTGCTAAGCTGGTTTTAACTAAATATGACAAGCTTATTTGTTGGTAATACGTCTCATCCCGATGAAGTGGTAATAAAAGTGACAATTTAGAAACCAGCTCCAAGAGTGGATAGTTTTGAAGCCGTCAACACTGGCATCGCTGTAATGATATCCCTATATGCTTAGATAACTATGCACGCTACCTTCTTTGATTTTGTGTGGATGTAGCCTTAGATTGTCTATGACAGAAAGCTTTCGGTGTTGGACTAAATGATCAGATCCCCGTTTGCTATGTGGTGGAATGGGATCCCGCAGGGCTCTAATCATCAACCTCTGCTATTTCTTGTATTTCTTCTGAACCAGCTCCACTTTTACAAGAATAATGATTTTCATTGTTGTGCTGTGTTGTGCAATTATGATATATTTATTGTCTACCCCTGTAAGGATGGTAAATATGTTATTTAATCAAATAAAATTCAGACTGTCACACACTGTGAAAGAACGCCCGACTGGAACAAAAAAGGAAGCTGTGAACTGAGCTCAAATCATGGTCAAACAGATGACTGCACATATATAGATAAATTCACCACAACTCCCATTCAAAATTTAACTGTTCATGAACAAAAATCATTCAGTTTCAAGACAAACATATTTCAACTAAACACTAAAATTAATTGGGTTAAGAAGAACTGACTAAACTAGTGAAACTCAAATAAACTAAGCCACTATGTACAGAAGAAGAAGAAAAAACATGGTTGAAAACCATAATCAGTATAATAATACCATGATATCACTGCTTGTTGTGGTTTTGGAACCAATGTGTGTTCAAACCAATTCATAATGGAAAAACATGAAATTTATATTAGTTTTAAAGCTTTATAAACAACGGCTCAAAATATATCAGCATGGCATACCATGCAACCCATCTTGTTTGCTCGTCTTTAAAAAACATTAAACACATGAGATTATCAAATATCATCATAAAGACAAATAATTTAGCAGGAAAATCTGTACCTTAATGTGCCAGACCTCTACCTCTGCTGATGTCAATTTTGAAAAAAATCTGAGTCTCTCCAGAATTTATTAAGCTTTGTGGCTGGGAGAAGGTTGCAGAAGCTGGAGAGTCCCAAGAGCAGGAAAACCTTCATCCTCCTGACCCATTCTCTTCATTAAATATCCGAATGGACATTGGTTATTAAATGTAAAAAGTAATATTAAGGTTTATGAGATCTGATAATTCTCAGGTTTATGTGTCCCTAAAACAGAGTGGTGATTGATTAAAGGAATGTCTTGAGGAATTAAAAGGATGAAAAGCTTTTAACTGTTTTTGCCTGAATGGAGATAAGAATGAAGTTATATTTTTTCTAATGTCAGCGGCTGGTCCTTGTCTCACATACTGTAGAGTTGGGTTCTTTGGCAGACTATAAAAAAACTTAATGTCATAAGCCTTGGTTTAAAAATGGCTAGTAAATGCAAAGCTTGGACAGGACAATGTAAATAGTGAAATCCAGCATTTTTTACACTAGGAACATAGCTACAATCAAAGGAATGTTGTCCAAAGATGACTTAAAAACAGTAATCCATGCTTGAGTGAAAACTCAACAGGACTGCTGTTATTCTTTATTCCTTGGAGTAAGGAAGTTATCCTTATCACATCTTCAGTTACTGCGGAACGCAGCTGCAAAGCTTTTAAATGCAGCAAATTCATGTTTTATCCTCTCTGCAATGCTCACACATCTGTTTTAGAGTAAATCTTTTTAATGATTTTGTTTTTTTTAGTCTTTAAATGGCCTTTCTTCTCCTTATCTCTCTGAGCTTTGACCTCATATCACCTGTATTTCCCTCTCCGACCCTCAGATCAGCTAACTAGCTGGTGTTGGAGGTACCAAGGACTCGATTGAAGCTCAGGGGAGATTAAGCTTTTGTCATTGCAGCAGATTAGAAAATAATTTTTAAATAGACATTTCTAAATCTGCTCTCAAGACCCCTTTCTGCAATTTGCCATTGGCAGGAAAATTTATTTTTAAGTAATTTTTAGATTTCTTCTTAATTAAAATGTGTTTTTATCATTCATCCCTTCTGTTCAGCACTTTTATCAATGCATGATGTTTAAAGCAAATTATAAATAAAGTTGGCATTGGCTTGACTCATTTGCTTCATCACACTCTGTAAATATACAGACACCTTTGTGCATGTTTTTATTTTGCAGAGTGGACAGCATTTCACCACAGTATAAATGAACAGCACCACAGTTACTACCAGCTAATGGTGCATCAGAGCACGGATACAAAATTGTAATTATGAACATTGATTATTTTTTTGTGGAAATGGATTTAAGCGCGAAAGAAAGGTCAGCTCAACATAATAAAAAATAAGTTCAGCTTCAGCGAAAAAATACATCCTGTAATAACATGGCGTCGGAGCAACATGCTCACGACACATTGTTGGGAAAAGTGAACTGCGTAAATGGAAATGGCATGCAGTAAAGAATAGTAAGGAGGGTGTGGAGAAGAAAAGCAGGTTGCAGCTGAAGATAGACTTATTCTCTGTTAAACCGTCTGTTAAGGAAAAAAAAAAAAAAAAAAACCTTTCTCAGAAACCCACTCTAAATAAAACCAAATGATATGTAGATGAAAGGCTAACCAGAAAGGTAATGGCCTTAAAAAAATCATTTGCATAGCTTACATACAAGAAACACAATATATATTTTGGCAGTACTGGGGGGAAAAATGAATTTGGATTACTATTTGTATATTTAACTGTCATGACAAATTTTCCTTCCCTTGATAATGATGAGTACAGCTCAGCATGAGCAGTATTCACTCCAGACACTGGTGCAATATGTCATTTTTTAAAAACATGTTCTTTTTTTCTTGGCACTTCTTTAAACAACTTAATGTTATCTTTTCTAAAAACACATTCAACCTGAAGTGAATCACCAAACTGGCAGGCATTCAAGATGCAGCAATCAGTGTTAACCTTACATTACATCCTAACCTTACATCTTTTCCTTCTCTGGACTGGGAAGTTAAAAGTGAAGGCAACCACAAAACAGTCAAATATGACAGATCTATCTTTTTTTCAGAAGCTAACAGTGAATGAGGTTTACTTGCACTTATTCCAGGTCTGATCACATGGGTGCATTTATTGGTAATTTCTAATTCAAAAAGACAAAATATGCCAAAATGTGGCATGTGGCGTGTTTCTAAAAACCTCCTGCCAAAAAGGTGTTTTTTTTCCTCCCCCCACTTTACACTGCTTTGTAGATGTGCAGCTGCTCCAATTTGAACATGTTGCCTCATGGTGAGGCGTAAACCTCCTTGAAGCTGTGGAGAAGTTTTAATCAAGTGTGAAATCCGTTTGGGGTAGATGCCTACGTGACTGTACTTGCACTTAAAAGCTCGCTCCTCAAACCTCTCTTCCTGTGAACATCTCCTGCAGCTCAAGTCCATTTTCACTGTCATGATGCTTCCAGACCATGTTTGCAGATAGCAGAGCTGAGTGAAAATAAGACTCCGCTCATCAAGGAGAAGGAGGCATGCATGCACACGGGTACAGATGTGAATCTCTTTAATCAGTTGCTCATCATTTGATAAAGCTATACCGTAGTACCTTACATAAACTATTCCACTCATTTTGTCACAATAGGAAATGTTAGTTTATTTTATAGTGGTTTTATGGGATACACCAACGCATTACAATGTTAATTCTGAAAAAAAGTGTAAAATAATAGACATCTTCTTAGTTTTAAGTTTAGTTCTATTTGTCTTTTCCAAAATTCTCTTATGTATGTGTCTTCAAAAGAACCTTACTGAAGATGCCTTGTTCGAAACTCCTCCTAAATGGACAATGTTATTAAAAAAATAATAAAGAAACACCAATATTCACCTTTAAAACACCATCCCCAAAGTAAAACTGTAAGTACGCTGGTCAAACTAGGCTGGAAGGCAGATAAAACTCACTAAAGGACAACATATTAATTAAACTAACATCTAGCCAGAGCTGCAATTACATCCACACATATTAATGCGTTGGAATGGCCCAGCCAATGTGGAGAGCTTAGTTGAAATTATGTGCAAAGAGGGGATTGATCTTGAACTATATTGCTTTTAAAAGTTGGTAAAGACATTACTAAAAAGTCCCAAAGAAGCAATGCACACTTTTCAGATTTATATTTAATAAAAGAATTATCAATTATCATAATTAACTGATATTACGGTGATGCATTTTGTGTTTGGTCTATCACAAAGAATTGCATCAAAATACATCTAAAATGGGCTTGGCTATTCATAAGTGCCCTATATATATTCTTCTTTCTCTCTACTATGTTAAACATAAAAAAATGCAATTCCTTTGAAATGAGCAATAGCTTAATTACAAAGTCCTTATAAACGCAAGAAGTGACTTAAGCATCCCAGTAATTAAGTATGCATGAATAATGCAGAACATTCCCCAATTGTGAAGTGAATGTATTAAATAGTCTAAACATCCTGCTGTTTTGGATTACAGAAACAATGAGATTAGCTCCAAAAACAGCTTAAGCTATGGATTCTTCTTCACACAGTTCATATCACTGCAATAATGGAACAATTGTGTATGGATTACTAGCGAGAATTGAATAGTTACCAATATGGGAAACTGGTAATATAATATGGTCTATTATGCATTAATTAGTAGTAAAGCAGTAAAATGTCTTGGCATAGGCACGGTTTCCAGGCTTTTCATTCAGTCTGGAACATTCTGTAATTTGTTTTTAGGCTTTACTAGGTCAAGATAAGTTTGGAAAAAACTGATTATAATAAAATATATATATATATATATATAAATCTTGTTCTTCCTCCAACAATTCCTCCATGTTCTCTTCGCTCGTACCTTCTTGTAGGTCGCTTCCTCCTTTTGTTTGTTTTTGCCTCTTTTTCTTCTGTCTTCCTCAAGTCCTTCTCTTTCCATTCTTCCCACTGTCATTCCTTTGGTCTCTATTCTCATTCCTTCATTCTGTTCTTCGTTAATCCTCATTTAACTTCCTTTGGTGATTGTGTGAATTATGAAGTCCCTTCTTCTTTCCTTCCTTCTTTTCTTCATCGTTCCTTTCTTGCAGCAGACTCTGAAATAATTTGAATTGTAGATATGGTTGTTTTTCTAAAATGGAGTCCTTTACGGAAGGTTAAACATGTGAAAAAATTGTTAAAAAAAAGAACATTTGAATTAACTTGAAAGCTACAGCTCATTTTGTTCTCTGACTGTGTTGATGTCTAGAAATGTAAGTTACATTAAAATGTATTTTTTTGTCAGATAAATTGTATAAACCTGGCTTTTAGGTTACAATGTTAATGTCACTGAGCATTTTCTTACATTTTGTGAGTTTTTCTTATTTTTGCATTATCTGCTTTAAAACCGTCAAAGCCAAGGGTGAAAATCGTTTTAAATTATTGTATGTATGTAATCCAGCATTTTTCAATCAATTTTTAAATATCTTACCATAAATGCCATGCCACTATTATTCCAACTCTTTAGTAGATAGAATAGCATTCATAGTTGTTATAGAAATGTTATTTACCAATGGTAGTCTTTTTTTTCTTTCTTCCTTTTTAGGTATTTTCAGGTGTATGCAGCACTTACAGAACTTTCTGTTGAAAGAAAGATATGGAAAATATCAACCAAACCAGTTTCTTCCATAATGTCAACATACAGTTATGAATGTATCAGCTAGGCTATGTAAGCTGCCACATACTCTTGCTAACCATACAAGGAAAACTTATACCTGCAGCAGACAGACTACTGTCTAACAGGAAAAAAATTGTAAAAACTAAGATCATACCACACTTACAGTGCATCCAAAGATAATAACAGCACTGCTATTTTTCCACATTTTTGTAATTTTATAGCCATATCCAAAATGTATTTATTCTCTTTTTTTTTAAAGTCTAAACACAAATACTTTTAACTGATGCAGCCTCTCCTTCAACCGTATGCAGAGGCCAGACCAACCACTATCAGCAGCAAAATCCATTTAGTAGCAGTTAAATATCTATTTAAAGCTTTTTGGCTACGTTCACACTGCAGCCTGAAGTGACCCAATTCCGATTTTTTTGCCCATATGTGACCTGTATCTGATCTTTTTATGACAGTCTGAACGACACAGATCGGATTTTTTCAAATGCGACCCAGGCCACTTGGATATGTGGTCCTGAATCCGATACGTATCTGATCTTTTCAAATGCGACCTGTGTCTGTACGGCCAGGTCGCATTCATCCGACCTACACGTCATTGATACTTGACAAATGTTACTAAACGTTACTAATCTGCGTCCTACTAAGCGGAGGTGGGAAAAACTAACAACCATGGCGGAAGATAACACAGAGAGCAGTCAATAGAGAGCTCAGTGAGAGCTCTGTACGGACGTTGCTATTACTGCCCCACAAAACGCCATTGCAAGAAATCTGGCTCTCTTTCTTTTTGATCTTCTTAAAAAGATTTCATTCGTAATGTGCCTGCTCCTGTTGGAGAAGAACTTAAAGAACGCAATATACGCTGCGGTATTACGAGTCATGTTTACTTCCGCAAACACTGAGGACGCTTGCTACATGTGACGTCATCGCGTCCTCGAGTGCGCATGCGGGACACTTCGGTTGAACGCTTTCAGTTCACACAGTAGATCACATACAAGTCGCATATACTTGGAAGTGTGAACGGACATGCAAAAAAATCCGATTTCACAAAAAAATCGGAATTGAGCATTAAGGCCTGCAGTGTGAACGTAGCCTTTCTTGTTAAAAACACAACCAATAAAAACATCTGTCAGAACATTCATGAACATTTGTTTACCTAATGTTGAATCAGCTGATTTTGGTGCACTGGTATGTAGGTTCAGTCTTCCTTTTGGGTGCATTTGAATGGCAGCAGTGGGAGGTACATCAGAATAAGGAACAACTGCAGCACAGCGTGTGTGGGGGGTGCACTGTTGTGGCTCATGTTTTCAGAATTTTTATTCTTAAAACAGCATGATAAAAGGGTGCAAGTCAGGGCCGCACATCATTGCTATTTGTTATTCTGTTCCTCTTCTTTTTTTCTTTTTTTTTTATCAGCACCCTCTTCAGCAGTTGGTGACCCCCCATATGGCCTATGCCCAGACGCAGCACCACTTCCTTTCATTCTTCTTTTTATCTTTTCTGTCCTTTAAATTTGCTATCACATTTCCTTCTCCAAGTCTTACTCCTATGTTTTCATAGTTAATTTCCTCCTTCAACTTGCCCCTATTCTTTCTCCCCTACCTTTCTTGTTCCTCTTCTTTATTCCTCCTTCCTTGTGTCTTCTTTCTTCATTGTCACCTTTCTTTTTTCCTGTATAGTTCCTTGCGCTCTTCCTTATCTCCTGAATCATTTCCTTTCTTTTTTCCTCTTTCCTCATCTTCTGTTTTGTTCTGCGCCTCCCTTATGCTCTTCTTTTCTTTCCAACTCATGTTCTTCCTTCTTTCACTTATTTCTAATTCATTGTCCTTACTCAATCCATCAATCACCCCCCCATACCTTTTGTTCTTTCATCCCTTCTGTGCTCCGCTTCTTTTACCTGCCTGTCATTTGGCTTTTTCAGATGTCATATATAAAACTGGGCCACTTCAGAAATGCCATAAATCCAAAGTGAGATGCCATTCTTTATATTTTAAAAAAGAGAAAAAAATAGTCTAAAAATCAAATAGTGAACTAGTATAGAAAACATATAGGAACCTGTTGTGTGTGTTGATGTATGGATGTGTCCCCTATGTGCAAACATTTTCCCTCATTTGCAAGCAAGCTGTAACCACAAAACAGGAACAGAGCATCCATAATCGACATGTCATTACATTTTGTGGACAGCCCTTTGGCATTAGAGTAATGCGTTTATCACAGCAACTTTACAAGTCGGTAATATCACAGATGCACAGTTCTTTGCTGTCTGCTCCTCTCTCAGACATTGATCAAGCTTGTCCCAGGATGAGTCTAAAGGGATAAAAAGATGATAAATGTAGCAGCATTTCCATTTAATCTGTTCTGTATGTTCAGCTTGTCAACAGGTGCGTGTTTGGCAAAGCTGTAGGCGGCTAGATATACATTTCTGAGGGGACAAATAGAGTGCCTCCTTGGTGTTGTGTTTGCCTTCAGAAAGTGTTGGACTGCTGCTGCGTAATAGCTCATGCAAACTTATTTTGGAGCTTTCTCGGCTTGTGTGTGAAAACGAGGTCACTGGGTTGTGGACCCATTTATTTAATTAGGAAAAGCTGAATAAAAAATGGATGACAATCAAGGGCAGGGAACTCATTTCAGCACTGTCAATCAATAACTCATTCAGCATGTTATTTTCCTTCCTCTAAAGAATTCAGATACTCCCTCTGTAACTGAACACTGCCTGTTTCTTGTGTGTTTGTAATTTATGCATTTCTTCCACCTTCTTTAATGCTCAATGTTGGGACTTATTCAATGTTCTATTTACAACATGGACATCAAATTTAGTTAAAATAAGTCATTGTTGAACATATTAACAACATGATGATATATTCTGAATAACCTAGACAGACTGCTGGGGGATACTTCTGAATGACAAAGACACAGCACGTCGCCTCTTGCATCTACCACACCAGCCTGTGGACTACACACACACACTAGCACTCATTACACAGTGCATAGCGACTGCTACATAGCAACCACTGCTGACTGCTTAGCAACAGCTGCAAAGACCTCAAGGGCGGGGGTGGGGGTTAGGGGTTTCATAGGGTGTATAAGAAGAAACCATCTCTGTTCATAAAAGCCATTTTTTTTTTCAACTTTCTTGATAAGTTTTACAAAGTAAGCTTTTTTGTGATTTGTGTCCTCTTACCTTTCCACAGATATCCGCTCTCTCCCTGATGTGGCGATGACCGGAAACTGCACAACTGAGTGCAGTGAATTGGGTCACTCAGATGCCTGCTGGATGCCAGGCCATCCCTCCCCTGTGCGTAAGACCAGGAATCCCCCCAAGCTCTCCACATTCGTGCCTTACCAGGAGAGAGGGAGTCTGGGACGCCTGGCCAACGGCAGCGCCAGGCTGAGTGGTGAGGAGCACCGGTCGCGCCTTCCACCCTCTCGCAGTGCCTATTCCAGCAGCGGCCAAGATGCCACTCAGGACTGCCCTGTAGAGGAGATGCCCCTGAGTGTTGCCTCTGAGTTCCCACCCACATCCCCATCGGCCCACACCCCTAAACGAGAGATTTACCTGTGAGAAACAGATTGGTACCCAAATGAAGAAAGCTACACTCACTTCAGACGGAGAATAAAATAAACTGTCCACACACAGCCTGTGGCCGGGTTGTAAGCAACGATCGGTCGTGGCTCTTTTATTCACTGGCATGAACACTCATCATTTCTTACTCAAATTATCTGCTCATCAGCAAATCCTGGAATGATTCCACAAAAAAAAAATTGACGCACCCCCTCATTTATTTATTGAAGCTCTCAACAGTCGCAATCCAGAAGGTTAGATGAGAAATGTAAGTGGAAATAGCTACTTTAGCAGTGACTAATTCTTGTTGTAGTTAGACAAGACCCAGTATGTGAAGTGAGTTCTTGAAAGTTGTGATCAGTGCTCTTGTGCCATTTCTAGCTATTATTCAATAAACATCTAATTTGGCCATATTAGTAGACATAACACTTAAGACCAGGAGTTAGATCATAAGGTCTTCTTAATGTACAGAGCTGTAAATACATTTGAATGGTGTGTTCTGCATATTTTTTTCTGGCATAACCTGCAAAGAACGCCTCTGGATTTTAGCATATTTAAGCTATTCTTTACTGTTGCTGTTTAAACTTGACTGAAACCATCGAAAGAGACTAGGTATTGTGGAAAGCATTTATCTGCTCCACAATATCATGTGCGTGAGCGCACACATACCCACACCTATCCCTACACACCTTTGACCCCTAATCATAGTAGAATGGCCTTTACCTCCGCTCCCTGTAGAGCTCCGCCACTGGTGGAGAAAGCTGTGTGGCAGCATTTAAAGCGACATTATGTCCCACTGACTCGCAGTACTATGACCTGTCGTTCATCATGAAAACGGTTGACTTGGCCACAGAACCCGAAGGGTTACGATGACCAAATGCAGAGTCCTCGCCAGACACATTCTGAGTGGCTTTTTGCTCCCTATTAGAGATTACACCAGTGCACCAGTGCACCAGTGCATTTGGAGAAGGTTCCTCCGTGTTGAGACAATCAGATGGGCTTCACATGCAAGACACAAGTTGTTCTCATTCCATAACCTCACATTACATAATATTGATAGAAATCTAATGAATGCCTAAGGGTTCAAATTAAATAAAAGGGCGCTTGAGTTTTAAGGTGCAGAGGGGTGTTATTACAATAACAACACTGAATAACATACCAACGTAAACCAGATAGATCCTGAATTTAGACAATTTATTTTTTGAAGGTATTCCATCACAATGAATAGGCTTGAATGGACAATTCAGTTGATAGTTTAAAATAAGAATAATCTTTATGTGCAAAGTTGTTGCACTATGGACGTTCATTGTACAAAGTCTCAATGTGGGCCTATAAAACCATAAAATAATTTTACATTTAAATTTAAACAAAATAATGAACTTAAAGTCAGTATCTCAGTGCAAAACTATTTACAATTTTTTAAAGAAATTGAGTAACAAGTGAAAAGTAATGCAATTTATTAAAAAATACTTTGCCTGTTGTCTAAATAAACAGTCTCTGTTGTAGTCTAAATATACAGCAAACACTGGTGGTGGCACTGCTTTGTCTGAAACCATTAAATATATCAGAGGATGACTGTCTTGAGTTTCATCAACCTTACAATCAAATTTAATCAGCTTCCGTATACCTATTTAAGACAACTATCCTCATACTGAAACACAGTTGGACCTGTGTTATGCTGTGATGGCAGACTTCTGAATCAGTTTACAAAATAACTGTTAGACACAGTAAAGCTACAAAAAAGTTTACAAAAAGAGATTCGGCAAAATAGCTTTTAGATGTGCAAAAGTGATATAGAAATACCTTGAACTCACTTTATTGCAGCAAAGGTATTTCTGAAGACTTTACATTTTCAGACGTCTCTGACTTCTGAAAACCATAGATTCTTGTTTATCCAGTTCGCAAAGATGTACTGCTACACTGCATAATCACAATAAACCTCAAACATTTAAATCTAAAATAAAAAACATAAAGGTACACAGTATGTAACACTTACAAGGCCTTGTATCAATCAATCGATTATGTAAAACACAGGGTATAACCTAAACAAGAGATGAAATGCATTCAGGTTGTCATTGCTGTTAATTCATTAATTATAATTATTAATAATCATTTTAATATTAGTAACCTAATTTCTGCTGTTAATCAATCAATTATATAAGTCATTTTTGATTAATTATTTAGTATGTTGATTTTTTTGATATCCTAAGCAGAGTGTAAAATATGTCATGCCAGTAATATTTTCTGGTAAATTCAGAGGATATGTTTGAAGGACACTTGTGTTACTAGGTAATTGGATGTTAATGATGACTTCACTAACTTGCGCAAGAACATTGCATCGCTATTCTGTGTCTTTGATTTAAACATCAATTTGATTAGATTTGTAGATACCTTTCACCTCTGCAGGCTATTTCCATAGTGAGATTGTGCCTCTGAGTGAGGCTGAAGGAGCCGAGAATGGACATTTCCTAATTAGGGTGAGTAATGAGTCTTGAGCGGGGGCATGTGTGAGCAAACCCCCAGGACAAAGCACCCACCAGACAATGCAAATCCACCCACAGAGCTACAACATTTAAAGCGGGGGTATTTTTAGCAGCACTTACCTCATCAGACTGCCCACTGCAAGCTGCATTTTGTCGGTTTAAAAAAAAAAACATGGAGATTACTGGACATGGCTGTGATTAAATAAGCTCAGCAGATATCCAGCCTTGAGGGGGAGAATGCTCATTATGCCACTTTTAAAGCCATTTAGCAACTGAAATAAAAATTCAAACAAGCCATGATACACTGTGATTAACCTCCCTCCCCCCAGCCCTCTAAGATCTGTGGATTCACCAACTAAAAGCAGCGGGTAAGATCACTGACCTGGAATTAATAACAAGTGAGAAAGATGGCAATGAGTGATAAAATGACTGTCATGAAGCCACAGGTGTAAATTTGTCTATCTGGATCTTTTCTCGCAATTCAGATTCGCCAACGGGATTACATCTTCTTCCTTTTCCAGCCTAGGTATCTCTGAAGAAATCTGGAAATACCCAGAGGTCTGCTTGATTACTAATAGACAAGGACATGGGTACTAAGACATAGTTTATAAAGAAGACAAGATACATAATCTTTTACTTTTCTGTCTGGCACTTATATAAACTAAACCTTTCCTGTTAAATGTCAGTTAGCAAAAACAAAGTGCCAAAATACTGAGATAAGCAATCTTTTATCTCTCTTTTTTTTTTTTATATATATTCTGAATTCTACATTTAGATCATATGTTACAACACCTAAACGACCATGAGCCACAGTGTAATTTGATTTAAAAAAGAACAAATGAGTAAATAATGAACAGCATCGTGAACAGGATTGTGGATGTCCACAAATCTGGTTTATTGATTATCTATTGTTATCTATTTGGTAAAAGGGTTCCATAGGGATCTGTTCAATCAGATACACAAGTAAATTGACTGAGGAATATCCAGCGATCTTATTTTTGTGGAAAGTAAAAAATTTTGCAATCCAGGAAAGAATTTGCTTTGATTAAAAATGTTTAGATCGACCTCAAAATGAAAGCCGAAGTCCTTATGGAGATGTTTGCTAGCAGCTGTACACAGTGGCAAAGACTGTAATCCTTCAAGGCATGCCCTGTAGCCTGAGAAAAAAAAAAAAAAAAGAATGATTATCTATGTACTCCCTCCCATTACTTTGCCATTTAACAAATAGACTTCATTTTGGTAGTCCGAACTGACCTTAAGGAGGAAAGGTTTAAATTATTTACTGCCAAACAATAAGAAAAAATCCTGATTTGTAATAATTAGTTGCTTAGCCAATTGCACTGATAGGAGTCTGTTTTAATATAAAAGGAAAACAGAAAATAACCCCATTTCTACTTTGATAAGTGGAGCTATTTTCTGCAGCAGAATGTACCTCTTACTGCTCACTTCTGGAAAACATATCGCCAGGTTTGCCCTTTCTTTTGAACTTGAGGTAAATGAACTGTGTTGAAACCGCTGCTTCTCTTGATAAAGGTTTGCAGCAAAGCACCATCTGAAATGTGTTTGATAATGTTTAATTTGTACTTTTACATTGATTTAATGTTGCATTCACTTGAGTATATTTTGCCTCTGTAATGTGTATTGTATGGTGATCATTTCTGTGCACAGATAAAGAAATTACAGTAACAAAATTGATTTCATTTTCTTTCTTTTTACCGCTGGTCAAAGACTCTCTGCTAACTGGCTGTGTGAAAAAATGAAATCTGTCGGTGGCATTAGTGTACATAGGTCCTCAAGACCCCGAGGCTGCTGTTCAGTGAGCGGCAACTTTTAGCATGAATCCCAAAGATGATTGGTAGAAAACTGTTCACTCGTTATAGTTTTATTCGACGTCCCACTACCCCAGACGAACTGAAATCGACTGAACATTTCATCTTTTTTCCGCAGTTCATATAATACAAAGACTATTGCCTTGAAAATATGTCTTTGCAAGAGAGAATCTAGTTGTTATCCTAAATGTTGGTATATTTATATAGGATAAAATGCTTGTGATGCCATGTTTTTGTACAGTTTTATGTACATACAAGTGAAGCTTTCTAAAAGTTTTGAGAAAAGCCGATGGCATATAAAAATTGTAACATGTATTGAGATGTGCACATCTTGCCTTGGTTGGATTGACCTTTGCTGAGTCAGTGTGAATGTGGCCGTTCTATGCCTGCACTGTAGTCATTCACCGGCTCCCACTTCTTGAGGACTTAATCAGTTTTTCTGTTTATTGTGAACAGTGGATCGTCTTCTCTTACCGGTCTGTTAAACTCCTGTGTTCTGCTTTGTTCTCTTTCCGCATGTTGGCAAATTCTCTTGTAATACTGTAAGTCCTCATGAACTTTGTAATAAAATCACTTCAGGGAAAAAAAAAAAAAACAATGTTGTCAGTGCTTTCTTTGATTTCTATTATTATTCATCACTTTTGAGTGTGGCGTTGTTACATTTCCAAGAGAGTGTGCAGCCTTGCGGTTGTGTTGTGTTGAAACGTGTCACCCTCAAGAGGTAATTAAGTAGAAATCGTATTCTTGTCAAGCAAGGAACAGTGGCCAATTTCTGATTCAGGAATGCACAAAAACAGATTGCTTGAACACTAAAAGTAATAGGGCCCCTGGACTTTTACTCAAAACCTGAACTACTAAAACACAAGATAAGAAGCATACAATACCATT